TGCCTTTTTTTTTTTTGTTTTTTTTTTTTTTGTTTTCTTGTCCTTTATGAAAAGGAAATCGGGTAAAACTTCCATCAACTACTCTCAGACTTTTTTAAGGTTTTTATGGGTTTTTTATGCCCACCAACATGACATAAGGACATTGGAGCATATTATGTTTATTAAGGCATTTGTTCCAAATCGAATACCTCTTCTTAAGTGCACACGTGTTGCGTTCAGTCCTGCACTCTTTCGTCGTTGAAAGAAATTTTAAAAGAGCTTAACGACTTACCACATATAACACAATTGCGAACGCTGGGTGTAACCGATAATTCGACATGCCTTTACCTATCTAGCATTTACTGTAACTAAGCCATTTGGTCAATCATATGAACTACCTCACTGGGAATTGGACCCGGTTATGCCAACTTAATAGTTACACTTCTTATCTACTAGACTGATTGCGAAAGCCTAAACACGATATCAAATTGTAAGCCAGAGTGAGGACTTTTCAAATAAGGAATAGTTTATTTACGGCCTCGTATATATATACCGTCGTATTTTGTGTACAGTAAATATATAATCATATTTTTGTACCACTTGGTAGCACCCTTCAGGTAATAAACCCAAACTTAAGTCCATTGCTTTGTTTGTACAATATACTCCAAGGTTTAATGGAACATATAAAGGTGTCAAGATCTTCTCGAATAATGGATATATGAAGAAAGGTATGGCCGAGTTTCAGGTAAGTAAGATTCCCTATGAAGATCTATGGAAAGCCATTAATGTTTAGCTCTGTTTGGCTGCTTCACCTGCGTTTGAAGATAGAATCGGGACGATATTAGGTCAAAATATTTCAGTTGTGATAATCGTTATAGTTAAATAACAGGTGGAAATAAGTAAATACAGGTAGATAATAAGACAAAGCAAGTTTAGTGTAAGAATAAAATACAGCGAAAAAAATTATTTCTTACATGACTAAGCCAATTAAAAAAACACTTGTTATTTAAAGCTTGGTAATCGAAATATTCACCATCATTATCTATGGTCATTTGAATCTTATGGCGCAGCTTGTGGATGTCCTTGCTGTGAAAATCTTGTGGTCATCCAATTATTTTCGCATATCTTCAACTATGCGGAACGGCTGATCTACTAACTACGACCGCATAGATTTAACCCATTAATAATCAGAAGAAAAAAAGCCTGAAGAATACGCCACAAACCGAAAAATTTCACAGCCCAAGCTGAAGATTCCATCCTGGGTTGCACTTGCTGCACATATGCGAACGTTCAACATCGTCAAAACTTTGGCAGAGATTGCGCGCCGAACTGCAAAGCACTTCCTGTATCCGCGAACATTTACTTGATAGTCGCGATTCTTACCTGTTCCGCTCCTCTTATCGGCTCAGGTACTTATAGCGGGCAAACATCAATATCTAGGCTACGAAAGAAATGAATGCGTTAAATATGTTTTGTAACGCATTGAATGTCAACACAGATAACTAATTTGTACTACTCTTAATGCCACTTTTCACAAAAGTTATGCAGATCACTTACGTCTGCAACATATCAATACCTTTCCAATGCATTTTTATTCCCGAGCTCATTACAGTCTTAACCTTGTGGAATACTATTCACTTAGGGAACGTAATTTCTATTCTGCAGAGTTCGAACGGGAAGAGTGAAAGACTTTCAACAAGTTATCTAATAAATTATCCGAATCAACGTCTTACTCAACCGAAATTACCACAATTTGGTACATAGTTCAACTCAGACCTGAATATGTATATGAATTTTCATCATAGCAGGTCATTTTCCAATAAACGATGCAAACTTCTGCTTCCACGGCTCTGCACGGGCATCTCTCATTCCATTTTCCAACAAAAATCTTAATAATTTTTGCAAAAACACACTTTAACTATCCGACAAAAGATCGTCGTTAACATTTAAGTAACATAAGCGCCATTGATCCAATGTTACTTATTTAGTGTAGAATGCATGCAAAATTCGCGCATAAACATAGTAAACAATTTTTTTTACCGATGTTTGCGATAGTTTCATAATTTTTTTCTTTTGTCCTGCTTACAAAGGCATTACCAAAAAAACAAAAACATAATGCGAGGTTAACAAGTGTTTGTTGTCGGGGATTCGATAATCAGCGAAGCAAGCTTTGAAATTTTCTTTTACACAGTTATTCTCTTCTTTTTTTTTTTTTGTTATTGGTGTTATTTTTCATAAATGGCAAAATATTTTAACGAATTTTATTGTATAGGAAAGTTTTTGGAAAAGTATGCAGCAATTTTTTATTAAATTTATGCTCCTAAAAGTATATTTTAATTTTTTTTTGTCCTTCTGCTCCCTTCTTTTTTTTTTTTTATAATAATGCAATGAATACCATTTGCTTAACAAGAACTATAGACAAGCAATTACTAAACATAGAAAGGGCGTAACTTACTTACTTTAACTTGAGTTACTTCAACATACCTCAATATGTATATAATTTTACTCAAAAAAAAAAACAAAAACATAATAATAATAAATAACAACAACAAAATACCATTGACTTATGACCTAATCATTACGGCCATGTATGTATTATTTACCTCAGACTAAAATTTGAAGCAATTAGATAGACATGTTATATGCGGTTTTCACCAATAATGTAAGAAAATTATTTCTCATCGATACCGTTAACAACTAAAATAAGTAACTATGTCTTTGGAGGACGAGACATAGACAATTCCATTGCCACCATTAAGCAAATAATTTATGTCTTTTGTTAAACAGTGTGAAACAGTGCAAATATTGCTATCCGTCGTTTGCATTGTAAAATGTAATTAATTCATATGTCAGGCATTAATTAATTACCGGTAAATTAATGAGCTACTGGTCTATAACTTAATAGAGATTTAAAATTAAATCTTTAATTTTCAAGAATACATTCAAGTCTAAAGTCAAGAGAGAGTATAAGTATTAGTGTAGGATGCTTTTATGAAAGTAATTCCTATAAGTCACATCCTACTGTATAAATTAACATATTAAGACGTACATAATGTAGGTTCATGGAGCTTTCAATGGATGCAACTCTGCCTTACTTTTCGTATTTAACCGGCAACATAGCGCTGCAAAATTCTTATGAGTGGATGGGTTGCGATATCAAGTAATCATGATACAAAGTAGTCGAACCATTGTTATCACCGATAAAGTTCAATATCCACGATATCCTAATTTAAGAAGTAGATCAGCTGCGCATAAAACCATCACTAGTGAATGTTATCAACAACAACTGATGCAAATGATTAGACAAACGGGACTAATATAGCAAAAGTCATGATAACTCAGCTTTTCAGTTCAGAAAGAAGTTGGCCTCTGGGAAATGATTGCAATTCTGCCTTTTATCATATCCCATCTTCACCTCTTTTATCACCAGGCATCATGCCTTCCATGTAACATGGGTTTCAATAAATGACTTGCAGTTTGCTTAGACGAAGCTTTCATTCCCAAGACGATACCCAAATATGGTTTCTAATACAGATAGCTTCAAAAGACTAGTTAGCCCTGGTCTCTCACCTAATAGTATTGTACGCATAAAAACTGAAGGGAGAAGTAATGGCTAGTAATAGCTTTATAGTATCATGTAACGTAAATATCACTTGGCTGTCCGAACATGTGAGCTACGGTTTGGTGAATAGTGACATATTTTGCTCACTACATCGGTCAGCAATTTGCCAAGCTCAGCTTTCCATTTCAAGTTTTGCACATCGGACGAGTTCAAAAAAATACGAACTGACCTAAGTCGAGTTTACAGAGATCTTTTTACGTAGCAAAGGGGAGAACCAATCTAGTATACCTGCATCTTCAGAGGAATCTCTGTTTGCTCATAAGTTAATGCGGGGCATGTACACTTCTTATGTAATATTAGGTGGTTTAATATGACTCAACGAGAATAATAAAAAAATGTATTGTCATACCCATTACTTATCACATCTTTTCTTCAGAAAATGAACTAGGTCCGAAACGAATAACTAGTCTTTTAATCCTATCCATATAAAAACCCACATTTAGATATCATCAAAAGAATGAAAGGTCCATCTCGAACAAACTGCAGGTTATCTATTGAGAAGCGTGTTCATCGAAAGGAGTAATTTCCGCCGGTAATTGCAACAATGGTCGGACATTCCAGGTTAGAATTGAAAACATCTTTTGTACGCGCATTTTGTTTTGGGAGAACAAAGTCTTGTGGTTTTCCTGCTTTTATGCTGAATTTGTTTCAGGTAAAAGTTACCCGTAAAAGGCGTTTTTAGCGCAGAGTTGCATTTGTTCCCAGCTTCAAGAAACTATTTAGTTTGATAACTTATACTGTTACGTACAGCCTAAAGGTAGTACTTTGATGAGAAGAGGACAATGCTTGCTTCACAATTCTCTGCAGTACTAGTTACACTCTCTCCTCGAGAAAGGGCAGAGTCGTATACACACACTCATTATACTAAACTGTTCCTGACAGTTTGTTAATTACAAAATGTTTTTTTATTTATATTATGCATAAATATAACTATTTTTTTTTCTTCTTAGTTATTAATGACACTATTTAATGTTATTATTGTATTCTCATTTTTTATTTGGTTTCGTAAAATGACCAACAACAATACGAACGAAAAAAAAACTAAACATATTATTGGCTAAATTCCAAATTATATTTTACATAAAAAACACTCAAAACTATTAATTTTTTTTTTTTTTAACTAACACCCTCGCTAACTGACTTGAAAGAAATGGTTAGTAAAAGCACAAAAGAAATGTTCTTTTCTATGTTGACATACATTTTACATAATGCACAAAAATGTTTTTTAATTAAACAAATAGAAATCACAAATTTTCAGTTCCTTTTACGAATTCTTGCTCAGCTTTGAAATTTGTGGTATATGTTATCCTTGTTTGGTTAAGTTTTTTTTGGTTTTTTTTTTTTTTTAATAATAAGTATTTTAAGTTGGTAGAGTGTATGCTTT